GAGTTCACTAGTACCTAGCCACACAAAAGTCTCATGTTCCTTCTGGTGAATTCTAGCATATTACGACTTCACGTGGAGTGTTGCACTAAACTGTCACACTAGCAGATCATAAGGCTTTGCCACAGAAAAATTAAGTTAAAAGCTGCAGATGAGAATATAAACCTAGGGCTGGTATAAAATGGGCATAGTGCCATTGACTTCACTGATGACAGTTGTTCCAATGAAGGTGCACTTTGGGAGCTTGCAGGCAGATGGCTGAGAAGGAAGAAGAGACAAGGGAGGGTGGAAAAGAACAAGAAAGAAAAGGGGGGAGGAAGAGGAGTAACTTAACTGCATAATTCTAAGGGAAGAGCTAAGAAATTCTACCTTACACCCTTTGATGACACAGCCCATACAAACTCCACACTCCTGGTTTAGGATGTTATCAGAATCTTCTGGATAGTATTGAAGTCTTCAAGCTGAAATGTTATGTAGAGTAAGTGTAAAACTTATATCCCAATGGCATCATAAAATTTGACTGCAACTTTATAGACTTTCTTTTCCAATCTATTTAGAATGTATATTAAAAAAAAAAAAGTTACTTTGGAGCTTGCTTAATGTTGTGGTCCAAAAAGAGAAACTTTTGGCCCTTGCTGTGGCTGTTAGGTTGCTTAGTTAACTTGAAGGCTTTCCTTTCTCCCATTTCTGTTTCATTTTTAGGGAAAATACACACATCCAAGTGAGTAAGTATCTGCTTGTGTGTGTTACATTGGTATGTGTCATTCATTTATACATTTAATTATAAATGTTCCATAACCCAGTTTAACAGCTTACTTTTGAGTTTTTGCACTTTTTCCTCTGTCTGTAAAACCTTTACATTCTTTCATTAGCTTGGAGAGCACACTCCCTATTTTTGTAATATTCATATACATTCAAGCCAGATGGAGAACCAGACTAGAAGATTTCAGAGATCCTTGTTAAAAATTGTCACATCAATAGAAAGCACTAGAAGCATTCAGTTCATCTCAATCTCTGTTATGCTCTCCTCTTGCTCTTGAGGTCCTAGTACTTGTTTCACTAAGGCATATTTTAAAAGCCAGTGAAGGCAGTTGGGACTTTTTTTACTGCTAATGAGCTTCAGATCAGGACCTTAAGTTCTTTTATAACCGAAGCTCATTTACAAGCACAGCTCCCTGCATAGAGCACTATAAAATGCTCACCGGAGTGTTTTAATAAGAGACGATTTTTAATTAGAAGTATTGAAACAATGAAGCAGAACACTTCCAATATCCAAGGTAGACAAATTAGCTAATTCTATTAACTTACTAATAAGGTCAAACAGTTTCTGACTCTTCTTGGGAGCCAAGGACATGTTCTGTGACTAACCTTAAATTTACTGTGCAGCTACATGCATGTTTACAGCAGCAGGTTTATCTGAAAGTATATTACTGGTATTTTGTTAATACATTGTTCTACTATATTAAATGAGAAAGGGAGTCTTGGCTGCATCTTAGCTAGGTAGGAGGGGGTTCTTGGTGGTTCCCGTTTGAAAAAGGAAGTGAGGTCTGGCAAGTGTTGAGAACCAATAGTTTGTACATTGCGCTATTCTGATAACAATCCTATAAGGCCACAGGAATCAATGATACTCTTTAACCCTGAACACTCCATAAAAATAAAATAGGCTATCAATTGGTGTTGGAAGCATGTATTTTCCTTTTAAAATAAAATGCTAAATTATCTTGTTACAGTTATTCCTTAAGTCTGCAGAAGCAAGACATAAACTTTAATGACTAATTTGTCTAAAATAACATTACTAGGTTATACTTGCCTTGATGTCCAGAAGTTCTTCATACAATTATTTCAACTTTGAGATCACTGAAGATCTTCTTAAAAATATTTCATGAAGTTGGACAAGATCTTCGTTCTGTTCATTCTAGCTGGTCTGCCATAACTGTTACTCCAAACCTGGTCATAGCACAATCTAATTTTTTTTGCTTTAAATGTATCGCATGTGTTAATGCTGACTGTATTGAACAATGTTCAAGTAAGTAGTACAGCAAAAAACTAACTGCTTTTGAGATGGAGTTTTGAAGAGGAGATTAAACTTGATGGCCCTCAGAGAGACCTTCCAACTCTGTTCTTGTATATATCTGCATTAATCTTTGTTAAAAAAAAGTCACTTTGTTATAATTTAGATAATGATTACTATATATTTTAAAATAATAATTCAATTGTTAGAATTTATGGAGCTAAGCCCTTCTGTCCCTGGCAATGTTTTTGCAAGCAAAATGTCCACTGAAATCAATACCTGATTAAGCTTTGAGTAAGAAATGCATTGTTTAGCCAATCCTGAACAAACTGGAATTTTATATTTTTTATATTCAACTTATTTCTAATACTGCCATCTTGTGGGGAAATTTCAAATAATAGATTAAAACCTTTCATAATTTGATACATAGCATATTTGGAGTAGAATCCATTCCTTCTGTACTTTCTCCAGGAGAAGAAGGTTCCTCATATGATTTGCTATATTTTAACTTGATGAGGGTTTAAAAATAACATCATAAGAAACCTAGAGAGAAAGAGATGCGGAAAGATCCTACTCTCCAGGATGTTTTCAGCAATCACTTACAATACTCTGTTGGTCTACTGAGCCAAGCACATGACCTTGAACATAAAAATAATTTTTGGCACAGGCAATAACTATAGAAAACACTTTTAAGCATGGTTCTTTTGTGTTTGTAATTATGTATATTACAATACAAAAGGAGGGGGAGAAAGGTCAAAGGGAAACAAAGCCATTTAGACCATGTGGTTTCATTCCTAGTTTTAGACGTGTATGTGTTCACCTAAACTAAGGAACCTGGTGGTCTAAACTGCTTTAAGTTGCTTCCTATTTACTTCCCATCTGAGAATAAATGTGTGCAGTGCAATGTCTAATTAAGTGATCAGATGTCTGGGAAGGAATCGCAGAGGTCCAGACTTCTTTCTCACAGTAGACATTGTACAACACTCTGGAATCTGGGGATCTAAATTGTAAACTCCCAAAATTCCTTTCCTAGTATCTCCATAAGTCATCTTTTTTTAAACCAGTACTATTTTCAAACTACTGTCAAACAGCATGAAAAAATTGCTACCAAGTAAGGTGATGCGTATCAACAACTTAGTATAAACAGGATACTCAAACTATTGACAATTACATAAAAATGCAGCGTTGGAGGAGTTGGAAGACAGGTCAGTGACTTCAATATTGTTAAAGATTTGGGATTGTTATCACTAGTTGCTGTATACAGTTTAGTGATAACTTTAGTCATTTGGGGTCTCCAAATTATACAGGCTATTGATGGGGAACTATGTACCTATTACGTAGCCTTCTTTTCATCCCCAGATTTTCAATTCATTAGCAGAAAGACAAATTTCATCCAGATGAAGCAATGCCTAGTTTATTTCCATGTGGGGGATAGGTAATAACTCAGCTGTGGTGGTGCTTTCTTTTTTTTCTTCATACTCCAAAGTCATGATACCAAAAGCAGAAGTAGTAGAATTTGTGGGGGGGAAAAAAGAATAGGACTGTCCAGCAGTAAAAACTGCACTGCCAGGGAATGGCTTATCAGCATTTTAAAAACTTCTTGCTATAGCTTCCATCTCTTCTGAGGTTACAAATTTTAGAAAAACTGCTAGTTTCTCACAATCTTTCAGCTATTTTCACATCTAAAACTTTTTTTCCTGCATCATGAAAGTATTTTTTTCATGTCACCCTTTCTCTTTTTTTTTTTTTTTCTTCTTTTAATTGCCTGATTCCTGCCAATATAATCCCAAACTAGCAGAATGTTTCATTAACATTCTAAATGCTAAGGAAGAAAACTGACTCCATCCTTGCTGCTTTAGGACTTAGTGGCAGCTAATTTAGTATTTAACTCCAAGTTGGTACAGCTGGTACTTAATGACACGGCATCTGTTACAGTAATTCACCTGGTATAGCAGCAGTTGGCCTACTGGGGGGATAAGTAATACAAGTACAGTGGAGTCGCATCATTTGTGCACTTAACTTACGTGAATTCATCATATGCGTATGCCCCGGAGTGCCAGTTGTTTAGATTCAGGCTGCAGCTGCCCCCTGCAGTGCTCTGCACAGGGCCAGCAGCCCTGCTGGGAAGCTGTCCACGCTGACCGGGTGGGAATTTGGTGCAGGCTGCCCTGGGCGGGAGCAGCTGTGTAGGGGAGGGAGTGGACTGTACCACTAGGCAAGCCCCCCGGCTCCCCTCCACCCCCAGCAAGCTCCTGGGACCTAGCATGTGTGCAGCCTGCAGCTGCCCCCCACAGTGCTGTGCACAGGGCCAAGCAGATCTATTGGGAGCATTCCTGCTGGGAAGCTGTGCACGCTGGCTGGGCAGGAGTTTAGTGCAGGCTAGCTGATTTTTTCCAAGGGTAATTTTGACTATATGCAGTTTTCACCTTACGCGCTGACTCTAGAACCTAACCCCCGCGTAAGATGCCACTCCACTGTAATATCATTATTTCATATAAGTATTTTATTTCAACTTATCTCCATCATGCACGCAGGAATACTTCAGTGGATAATGCTAACCAGAAAGATAACCTTGTTCAAAATCAAACTGGGTATACTAAGAATAGGCAGCACAGTAATAATCCACAACACAGTTGCACACTTAAGATAATCACCTGCATCAATTTTTCAAGTACCCTGGCAAGTTTGTCTTCTGATTGGATCCAAGTTTGCCACAATGATGCTGAACAAGAGAGGGGAAGCAATATTTGGTGTATTTTTGTAAGGTAACTTCAAAGACATCATGAAATGCCTTCCAAGTTGTCAAAATGCTTTGCATGAATATGTATAAGCTGACTTCTGAGGGACTTTTCATAAACTTAAATTAAGCACATGTATGTCTACAGGAGCAGAGCCAAAGTTAAGGGGGAGAAAAACAAGGCAGCATAATCAGCATGACAAAGATGAGGACAACAAAATTATACAGTCAATGCAAAAAGTATGTATGCATTCAGAAAGATCATTTTATTTCTGTCACAGGTTCTCCCCAAGACAGTTTCTTTTGTGGTTTCCCTGTGTGACATGCATAGATATCCATTGACCCAAACTAAGCTTACTCTTGGGGTGTTTTGGTTTCTAATTGCAACTAGTGTGAAGCTGTGTTCAGTTGTATGGTTCTTGTGCCTGTTTGTTATGGTATTTGATATTAACTGTAATGTTGATGCATCTTTATAGTTCAGCTAAGGTTGTGTTAGTAAGGTGGGAGTGATTAACTTGAACAGCCCCCCAACTGTTCACACTTAGAGTCAAAGGTTGATGCTTCCTCAGCCTGAAGAAGGGTGTTTTGTATTCAAAAGCTTGCAAAGAAGAATTTTCCCAACTATTTTAGTTGGTCTAATAAAAAATATTGGATTTACCCAAAGAACCTTATCTGTTTATGTCCTTAGAACAGGGGTGGGCAAAATGCAGCCTGCTAGGCCATTCTATCTGGCCCGTGGAGCCCCTAAAATTTTAGAAAATTAATATTTATCTGCCTCTGGCTGCCTGTCATGTGGCCCTTGATGGCTTGATGAAACTCATTTTGGGCAGAGGGCCACTTACTAATTGCCTGCCCCTGTCTTAGAACAACACAGCTACAGCCAGTACCCCATAAAGGTTGAGAATTAGCATGTGACTTAGCTTGTGCACTGGTCCTCTATGTGACTGCCAAGAAGCAATGATATACTTGCATTTTAAAAGAAGCCTAGCACCTAGTTGGTCAAACTCAAACAGCAGAGACTGCAGTGCCTATTGCATTAAAGAAATCTAGGTATCTATGCCCCTCCTGGACGTGATGAATGAAGCATGTTAAGAGCCAGACAGGAGGAAGAATGTCTTGCATGCAAAAGCTCGTCTAACTTTAGCCCAGCTTTATAGTTGGCCCAATAAAAAAAGATTGCCTTAAGAAATCCTTGCCTCTGTTGGTTTTGGACCAGCATGCTTGCATCACTTTTACACTATGCTAGCCTGCCTGGCAAAGGCACTTAAGCCTGCCTTGAGTGTATGACTTGTACCTGGGCAGACAAGACTCTTTGGGTAAATGGGATAGCGTTCATTAGACCAACTCAATTGTTGTGAAAAAATGTTCTTTGCAAGCAGTGGGGGAGTCTGGTGTTTTGTGTTCTCCTGGATGGAACAGAAGCTGCTACGCAAAATGCAGATGGGTAAAAATGCAGAGGCCTAATTTGTACCTGGGAAGACTAAAGAGCAAAGGAGGGGCTGGGTCCCCAAGCCAGGGAGGCTGGAAAACCGAGCTCAGGGGTGAAGAAGGTTCTCATGGGCAGGCTCAGAGGCTGCATTTGGAGCCCTGAAGCTGGACCTGGACTGCAGCTTCAGACTGACCCTGCGGGATCAGACCAGGTCCGTGGTCTGGTGCTTTCTCGAGCTGTGCCTGTGGCTCAGGAACTGGTTTCTTGCGCTTGATTTGTTTTTGTAATACATCGTGTCGCTTGTCTCTACTGTGGGGCGCGATGACTCCCGGGCAGGGATACTGCCGGCTGCCCCCTCCACGGAGAGGAGACCCTACACCAGCTTCTCTGCCTAAAAGGGCGGCCCTCGGAGGCCGGCAGCGCTTCCCTCGCGGGGGCCGGGACACGGCGCTGCCCCGGGAAAGCTCAGGCTCTTCCTTGGGGAGCGGAAGCACGGGGCTGGGGCTACCCGGCGGCACCGGGTAGCCACCGCTCCTTCCGTACGAGGACTGCCGGGTGGTTGGCACCTGCGCTCCTTCAGGCGCTAAGCGAGTCTGCGAGGTGCACCCCGGACCCCGGGCGGGAGCGAGCAGGCACCGCCCAGGCCGTCAGGTGACGCCGCACATTCTTCAGTCCTGGCAATTCACCGGTGGGGGCCGCGCGCATGCGCAATAGGGACGAGTGGACGGAGCCGGCGCTGTTTAACATCCGGGTCCCACCCGCCCTGGGTGGGGTGAGGGGGCTTGCGGCCGGCGCGGGGCGATTCGCCCCGCCCAGGCTAGTCCCGTCCCTTCCAGTCCTCCCGCTACCGGCGCCTGGCCCTGCGTGTGAAGGCGGAGGAGGATGATGCCGGCTCTGGCCGGGTGCGGGCCGCGCTGGGGCGGCCTCTACCGGCTCTGCCTGCGGGGCCGTGCCTGCCGCGGTGAGTGCGGGCCCGGGAGCGCCTGTGAGCGTCGTGCGCCGGCTTCCCCGCGCCTCCGCCTCGGCCTGCTGCGACCGGGCTCGGGGGCTGGGAGGCCCCAGCCCTCCTGGCCTGTCTCGACCGGCGTGCGGCTGCTAGGGCCGCCTGGGCCCTGTGGTGGGGGCGTGAGGGCGGTTTGCGGGGGCGTCTGCCCGGTCCCTCCCTGTGTCAGGTCTGCTCTGCGCTGCCTGGCAGTTGAACCCGCTGTGGAGCTGAGGGGGCAGTTGGGGCGGCCCCACCTCGGGGGCATCCTTATGCCCCTGCTCTCACCCTGCAGCCCATGCTCGGTGTCAGTGTCTGCCCAGGTTTTGATACCTGGGACATGCTTAATTTCTGGATTAAAATTGTCAGCACATACCTACCAGCTGGATCTGGTGTGGCCGGGGCCTGACCCAGCCCGGTTTTTGTGGTACACATTAGCATGCCGCAAGCATGGCAGAAGCATCACGGTATGCCTTCTGGGGATTGCTGCTATGTGTAGTCTGCCAATGTACTTTCTGGAAGGGGCCAGTTAGTTGTTGGACAGTCTGCTTTGAAGTGAACAGATTGGCTTTCTGCTAGGCTTCAGTTATGTTCTGGTTGAGTTATTTGGGGGCTCTGGCTCTGTCCACATTGTGGGAATGAAGATGGTAGCACTAGCTGATAGTCATGTTCTGGGTGTGGCTGCAGCTACCTCAGTTCTGATTGGAGGCTGCAGATGAGTGTCATGGTTTCTTCGGGGACAAACACTTTATTCCAGGACAGAGTGCAATTATTCACATGTCTGTGTTTGTGGTATTCTGGGACAAATACTAAAAAGGCTCCTAGGGTAAGAAGAGATCACAGTTTGTCCTGGGCCATCATACAGTGCATCTGAACAGTTGTTCTGGGATTGAATTGGTGGCAGTGCCTTCAGCCACTTACCAGACCATGGTTGGAAGGACAGTGTGTACATGCTGGTCTCAGCACTTCTCTGTTCCGGGACTCACACAGGCACAACTCGCCGAGGGATAAATGCTCCATCTGTTCATAGCCTTAGTGCATGTCCTGACATAAACCTCTTCAGTATTTGAGTTTGTTAAGAGTAGCATTCAAGCACTTTTTCAGGACAGTTGATATCCATTTTCCATACTTCCGTTTGGCCTTGTTTAAAGCTCTCACTTTCAGGAAACACAAATCATAAATATTTTTGCACTGTGCATTAAGTATTTATACATTCAGATACTACTATAAAATGTAAGGATGTGACAAACAAAAGGAGTGAAGAGAGATTTTTTTTTTTCAGGTTAATG